TTTTCATGACAAAATATCAGAAATTATATTCATTGATATTACCAACAATCTTATCAGAAAAGTCGTTAAAGTACTTGGAAGTTCTTTTTTGTTTTTTTTTTTGGGGGGGGGGTTGCAGTTTTTGGCCAGGGCAGGGTATGAACCCGCTACCTCCAGCATATGGGGCCAGCACCCTACTCCTTTGAGCCACAGGCACTGCCCAGTACTTGGAAGTTCTAAAGCTTATTATTATAGATAACAGTTTTCAAAAATCCTAATTTTCACCTGAACGATTTATTATCATTGGCAACAAATATTATCAATTATTTTCCTTGAAGTAACAGATTGTCTATATTCATTTTCAAGAAAATATATCCTAAATATCCAAATCTGAATAACTAGATTGTTAGGTAGTCTTGAAAATAAAAACATCCTATGAAAACAGCTAGATCTGCTTCCAAGTCCAACTACTGGTATGCCTTCTTTTGAATCCACTGCTGTACTGTGGCAGGCAGAAGTGCCTAATAACGCCAGACAGGAGCTTAAGAAAACATAAGATTTAATAAAATTTGCAACTTTAACTCCTTCACTATTCTTAAGTGAAACTAGCATTATTTTTATTGCATGTGCACACTGGTAAAGATTACAATTTAGTACCAGTGCTTCGATTACCCACCACTGCCTCTGTACCACCACAGTGAAAAAAGCATACAACATCTTCAAATTATTATGAAAATAGTTAGACCTCAAAGACTAACAGAATGGACTCAGGGATCCCCAAGGTTCTCAGACCACACTTGAAATCCAGATTATCTAAACACTAATTACTTCCAAAATTTCCCTGAAACAAGGAACCCATGTGTGTACTCTAAGTTAAAGGGAGGCAAAAAAACAGACAAGAAATCTCCAAAACTGAATAATATCTGAACAACTACGCAGTTGTTGGGAAGGCTCCTCAGATAAGTATGGGAGGCTCAGGAACCACGTATTTCTTAAAAAAAAAAAAAAAAAAAAAAAAAAAATGGAGTTTGTAAATGATGCTCAGTTTTTTCTCCCATTTCCAGACCAAGGTTCTAGGAGAATTGGTGCCAAACCTTAAAGTAGAAGATAGAAAAGCAAGCAGACAAGACAACAATGACACAGAAAAGATTTTCATCAGATAATAAATAGTTGGTTTTCTTAAGGTTTCTTTAGACTGTGGATTTTATTTTCTTTTTACCTAAAGTCAAATTCCTACCCTAATACTGTGTTCAGTTACAAATGAAGAAGTTTCACCTCTTCAGGTTACACATAAAGGAAAGATTTACTAACACTACCTCACATACAAAATTTGGTATAGTTTAATGTTTCCAATTTGATAATAAAACTGTAAAATTTAAGAAAAAAAAAAAAGAAACATCCATTTTGCTCTCTCCATTTTCTGTTTAGTACCTAGCACTGCCCTTGCATAATGTAAAATGTTCAATAAACGTTTGGTAAATGCTGAACGTTGAAGTGGTTAAAATGAGGTATGAACTCAAGTTACCAAACGTATAGTACAACACCTCTCAGTTCTCTAAAATAACACCCATGAGAAACCTAAAGGAATTATTGCAACACACTCTTGAGAAAATACAATTTACCCTATTACACTTGAAAGCCTGATATGGACTAGGTATTAATTAATAGGTTCTCATTTAGACTTACACCGCAGTTTAAGGTCAAAACAGATAACTCTATCATTTTCATTTCTAAATATTTGCCACCTGAGTTAAGCTTTAATAAAGTAACTTTCCATTCCTATGTGAAGACATAGCAATAAAATACTAGTTTTAAATCAATCATCATACATTGATTACTACCCTCACACGGACTAACCTTAATATTTTATTTTCTCTGTGATTCAGAATCGTTCTCAATTTCTTAAAAGTTTCTTATGTTTATATTTTAGACATTTATTGCCATATAAGAACTTCACATATTAAAGGAGACTGCAGCACATCTGAAAATAATGTGTCACTATAGCATTATTCTTCATTTTAAAATTGTTCCTTATGGGACAGACAAAAGAAAAAAGAAACAAAAATTTTTCGTCAAACGAAAATGTCGGTTTGACATGTATCATTAATTCCTTCAAAAAAGCACAATGTAAAAAATTTTAGGTACTTGAATTACCTAGTTATTTAGATTCTGGATCTCAAAAGAGATTTTAATCAAATGCAAATAATTTAAGGCCAGCAAGCACAAAACTGAAATTCAATCACAGAAATGGCATAAATTTAAAGAATGTATCAATTAAGGAACTGACGTTACATCAAATCAATTTGTTTCATTTTGAAATACATGTTACGAATATAACTTCATTCTGCAAAGACATGACCTACCAAGGATATAGTCAAAGGAAACGGTCTTCTGTTCTGAATTAGATATTCTTTAAAGAAAGAGACACGTGCTGTCAGTAAAGACTTGAGAGGGAGACCATGAACTCAATTCTTCCCTTGAGGTTTAAAAAGAAAAATTATTTTCAAATGTGTAGAGTAGCTTAGACTTGGCCTCATATTTGGCCAGTGAGACAGAATCAGTTCAAAGGTCGGTCTGACCCAAGGGATTCAAATCCTATCTGTCCATAACACAAGCAAGTCATTAGCAAGCTCCATCCTTCTGCTCTACAGCTATTAGTCCTACCTTTGGTACTTGCCAACATTATTCTTGAAATTACACGTCATCAGTTGTGGAGAATTATTTCTCCCAAATACTTAAAAATTTTTCATTTCTACAGTGCTCTACAGTTCTTTAATCCTGTTTTTCTAACATTACCAGAGATGGAAATATGTGTTTTGGGGTGCAATCAACATCTGCCCTATTAATGATACCCTGTTCCATTGTTTTATCCAAACATGGATTCCACTCTGAATTTCAGAAAACAGCAGTAGGAAAATAACAGATAACAGAGAAAATTAATTAGAGCTCTTAGGTTTAACTTAGGGCCAAAATCAAAAAAGAAGAGACAATTCAGAGAGAGGAAGGAAGAAGCTGAGAGGGTTGTAGTGTAGAACACTTACTTTTAGGAACAGAGTGTCCCTTAGATTTCTGGTGAGTTGCCCAGAGCCTCTTCAGTTTCAATCCAAATGACAATGCTTCTCTGAGTCCTCCTCAAGTAATGTTTCCACCACTAAAAATTGGATCTACAAGAGCTCAGATGTACTGGTAAAAAAATGTCAGGGGCTCCCATGTGGGCCTCAAGCCTCTTTTAAACTAGGCCCACTTCTCTGTCCTGGGCCAACTCCCCTGTGCACTATATTCCTTCTTCTTCCAGGTGCCAGGTATTCAGCCTGTTTCTTCTCTTCTGAGCTGCCACCACCTACTCTATTTCTCAGGGTTCCTCTAACCCCAAGACTGGCTGTTGAGTAGGACACCAGCTTCCCCCCTTCCTTGCTGTCCCTGCAAATAAACATATAGGCTCTTCTAGTTTCAGTATTTTTCTAATGCTACAAGAAAATAGAGAGGAACAACAAAAAGCAATAATATAGTAGTACCAGAGATAAGATTAAAATAACTGTCTCCACTTTAATGTTCCTGCCTCCAAAAAGCAAATTTTCTAGAAAATGGCTTATTGACCATTTTAAAAAGTACAAAGTGCTAACACATAATCTAAACCAAATCCAACCTTACACAAATATAAAGATTCTCTGCTTTTCAAAATACTTAAATCACGGGTCCAAAAGTAATAACCACAATCATTTAGGCAAAATAGGTACTTTCTTTTGTTTGGAATGTTTTCTTATATTCCCTTAATTATAATACACGTTTGAAAGTTTGTCTTTTAAACATGAACATGAAAAATGTTCAAAATATTTTAATCAATGTAAAAGGGAATATACAAAAAGCATATTAAGATTTGCAAAAAACAGGCATACAGAAAAGCAGCTTGCTTTACCAAAAAAAGTTATTGCCAACCATTTGTGTCTATATTTTAAAAATGTAATAAAGTTCTGTAAATGTTGTTTTAAAAATTCAAGTACTTCATATTTAGAAATCTAACCTCTACTGAATATTTAGTGTCAATACTAGGCCCCCCCTTTTTTTTAAATCAACAATGAAACACATTAGTATACTTATTGTGATAATTTAGTTTCTAATGAACTTCGTAATACCCAAATAGATACTTTATCTTAATATGAAGTGATAAACACAGGATACAAAGAATTAATTAATTCAAAGGCTACACTCCTGTAAAGGTGAAGGAGCTCTATGACTACTGGCAGATAGGAATGCCACTGACTCTGAATTTCCTGGATGATTTTCTTTATCCACTTAATTGACTTAAGTGGTTTTTTAACAGACAGAGTTGTTAAACAGTAAGCATACGATAAAATAAACTTAAGACTGAAAACAGGGATCCTTTTATCTCACTTGTCTAATAGACTGCCATTTAATCAAACTAAAATATTCAGATACTTTCAGTAAAAATATGTTCCTGTGACTGGGTTCACCTCCAACTATTTATTTATAAAATATTAGGGAACTGGAATAAAAACACTAAACAAAACCTTGATCTGACCCTTTCCAGACATCCATCTACAAAAAGAAGTTTAATCTATTGTGTATTCTACAATCAAATACTTTTTTCAAGAACGCTATTAAATTACATTCTTGCTCCTACGAGAATTCATGGTTTTTCCTTGATTCTCCACACACTAACACAATAATGCAGCCAACATTTTTATACCCGGAGTGGGGAGAAGGGCATTACACCCAGCGATAAGAATTAAATCGCAGTAGCTAATGCCTCCCTTAAATAATTCATTCTTTCTCGGCAGCAAAAAAAAAAAGGAAAAAACCGATACAGCCTCCTCAATTACCCCTCACCGCAAACCGCTGCTCGGGTCGCGATCAACGTGACCCAGTTCCCATCGTGGCCACCACCTCAGTCTCGCCTCCTCCCGCCGCGGCTGCGAGTGTCACGAGTAGGGGGCGGGGAGCGGCAGCCGGAGGGGCGTCCTCCGCGTCGCGACCCCCGGCCGGCGGCGCGCGGGACTCACCGGGTGGAGGTTCCCTTCCGCACATCGCACATCATGCACTTGAAGGCCTCGGCGCTGTTCCGGAAGGTGCAGACGCTACAGTCCCAGTAACCCTCATCCGAGGACGGCTTCGGCTGCCGCTTCGGCCTGCAGGACACAACCCGGACACGACGCGGCGCGGGGTCACCAGCAGGCCGCGCCCCGCGCCCGGGCCCTGCGGCCACCCCGCCCCGCCCCCCGCCCCTATTCCGCGACCCCCGCCCCGCGGGCCCCAGGAGCGCCGCGCTCCGGCTCGGAGGGGGAGGGGAGTCGGGAAGGGGGAGGGCGCGAGCGAGGCTGCAGCCGCAGCCGCCGCCACACTGACACCCCGAATGCCGCTCCGGCCGCCGCCGCCATCGCGGCCCCATTGTGGGGCGGCCGGCGCCGGCGCCTCACGAGGTAGCGCTCGCGCAGCAGCGGCGCCGCCCCCGTTCTCGCCTCAGCGCCCGGGCGGCGAGCGAGGCGGCAGCCCGAAGCCCGGCGGGAGAGCCCTGCCGCCCGCACAGTCCGGGCCCCAGGGCCCGAGCGCTGTTACCTGGTGGGGCTCTTCTTGTCTCCCATGGCACGCCGAGGGTCTCTGCCGCGGCCGCTCTGTTTGTCAATAAGGAGGATAATAAGCCGGGCGGAAGCGGGCGGGGGAGCAGGCAGGGAGGGGGCGGGGAAGGCCGCACCGCCGCGCTCGGGAGCCGCCGCCGGATCCCACGCAGCCTCCAGCTGTCGGGGAAACTCCTGCCTGGGCCCACGTGACCCGCGCCCGCCAATCAGCGGCCGCGCCGGAGACTTCAAACGCGGCCAGCGCGGCCCAGCACCCGCGGTGAGTTCGCTAGCGGGAGGTGCGGGGGTGGCCGCTGCGGCCTCGGGCGCGGTCGCTGCCTCTCCTACCTCTTTCCCCGCTTCCCTTGGGCACCCGGGCTCCTGGGAGCTGCGGTGCGCTCCGGAGCTCCTGTGGCGGGGAAAGGTCTGTACGGCTGGCTGGCGGGGATGCTCCGTCATCCTGTTGCGAAGCCCGGTCCAAGGTGGGGCCGGCGTTCGGAGGCCAGCAGAGATCGGGACAGGGGTGCCCGCCAGGGTCTCTAAGGTAGAACCGCTTTCCTGGCCTCGGTGGTTCTTGGCTACTCCGCCCAACCCGAAGGCTATCTGGGAGAAGGCGAGAACCAACGTTGAACGCCATTGCTAGATGCCTTGAAACACTGGTTTTATGCACACAAATGCTCTACACAGTAAGGATTGTCACCCTTAATTTAGAGGAAACGAAACCGAGGCTTAGGGAGAGTTAGATGACTTCCTCTAGGTTACATAATTTTAATATACAAAGTCGGGAGTCTAACCCTGCTTAAATTCCAAACTCGTTCTTTTGGCCTCACAGGCCTCTGCAGTACCTGCTTTTAAAATAAAGGAGTGTACTGTTAAGCCGCTTCTTAAAATAAGGAGTTTGCGTGTCTGTTGACTAAGGAAAGAACACCTTACCCCCAGGTTTCTTTACCTCGACAAACTGGGGGCCCTCATAGCAACAGCCAGCTAACTGGCCTCTGAAGCTCCAATCCCACCTCCCCAATCTAGTCAGTAATCCACCACCAGATTAATAATAAAGTGCTATTAACGTTATGCCACCATTCTGATCAAGAACTGCCAAGGGCTCTCAGACTCCTTCGCCTGGCAGTCAAAGGCTTCCACACATCTTCCCTACCGCTTCATCCCTCTTGCCATTAGAAAAGCTGCCTCTACAGAGACTAGAAAGGAAACCCATCTGTTCTCTTACCAGAAATTTTACTTCATATGCAGAGATGACTTCATTTTCTCTTTTTTCATTTCCATTTTTTTATTATTTTTCCCCAATAGCAGCTGCTTTGCTGTGTAGGAAATATTTCTGCCTAAAATATTTTCCTCTTGTCTGTAACTGTACTATTTCTACCCATCTTTCTGGGTTTACATCAAGTCTGAATTCCTGGAAAATAATTGTATAGCTAAACTACCAAGGAAATAGTACAAAGTTAATTTCTTAGCCTGCTTCCCCTTTCCCTTAATAAGTAGACCTCGGAAATTTTTCTTAATTTCTGTAATTGTCAACTTCAGGTTGTTGTGTGACTAATAATAAAATAACAGTTCTTGAGCACTATGTGCCAGGCATTTTTTAAATAAATCTCTTAACACAGATACATATTTTAAAGGGCTCAAAATACTATGCAAACTTTCTCATCAACTTCAGCTGATCTTATACAGTGGGACTATGTTTTGGTAAACTCATTGTAAATCGAAAATATTGTAGGTTGACAATGCATTTAATACTCTGACAAACCCTTCGTAAAATAGAAAAATCATAATTTAAACTACTGTAAATCCATGGTCTAGCCCTTCACTTTAAAGACAGTGAATTTAGGGCCCATGTTAAATAGGTTTTTCTATGTTGTGTTGTTTTGTTTTGTTTTAAGACAGAGTCTCACTTTGACACCCTAGGTAGAGTGCTATGACATCATAGCTCACAGCAACCTTAAATTCTTGGACTCAAGCCATCATCTTGCCTCAGCCTCCCCAGTAGCTGGGATTATAGGCACTGCCACAATGCCTGGCTATTTTTAGAGAGAGGTTCTCACTCTTGCTCAGTCTGATCTTGAACTCCTGAGTTCATGCTGTTCATACCCCCAGAGTGTTAAATGGTTTTCTTTAATAAACAGTCCAGGATTAAAGCCAGTATCCCTTTAGTCTTTCACCATGCCTTGCTTTCTGATTAACCAAATAATTCCAATTTAAAGCATCTTCTGAACTCATTGTACCATCAGTACTTTTTGCAAATCTCGCTTTTCATGACTCAGACCTGGATTCAGAAACCCAGGAACCATAAGGGACATGATTGAGAAAAGTGTATCAGAGAATAAGGTCTAAGGTTTAGTATTCAGTCTCAGTAATGCAATGGGTAAACTTAGTTAAGTCACCTCATTTTTTTTCATATATTAAAGGAATTAAAACTACTGACTAAGGTTCCTTCCAAGTCTAAAGAATTGTGATGTTTTTAAATTCCTCAATTGAGTGGATCTTCAAGGAGACTGACAACAATAGCTCTGCTTGCACAAGTGATGGCAACAATGTATTTTCAGATCAAAAGAAAATTAAAGTACTCTAAAACTCCTTGATACTGCAAATCGCTACTTCATTAGAATATAACCTCCATTACTAGAAAGTAAAACTCCACTTATGAATCATAAGCTCAGGAAGGGCAGAAACTTGAATTTGTTGTCTTCATTCCAGTATCTCTAGACCCAGAACAGTGTGGCGCATAGTGGGCACTTGACAAATATTCTGAGATTTAATATGTTCACTTGTGTCACAATTCTTGAATAAGTATTTTTTTAAACAGGGATTAAATCTGTTAAGCATGTTGTATGCAATGGGTGGTCACTAAATGCTGAAATGTATGGCAATCCTTCAAAATAAACTTCATAATTCTGCAAAATAAACTTCACAATTCTTGTACAAGAACCAGGTCTCCAGTTTTCATGGAGCACAACAGCACATGCCCTTGCAATATACCAGCTGCCTCCTATTAATTAGTGTCTCTCTTAAAACTTTTCTGCCTGTGTTAGGTTTACAGGGTGACTTTAAGACAGGAGCTACTCTTCCTATTTCACCACAAAAGGTGACACTTTTTCCTAAAAGGGTTTCTCTACTTAATCTGGAAGAGCGGCTGATGGAGAATAGAAAGATCTTTATAACTAGAATGACCTACCTTCTTACCCATTCAAGTGTCTTTTCAGTAAGTTAACTGAGTTCAGTACTTTAAATGGTAGGGTCACTTGTTCAGTGACACAAGCACTTTTTTTGTTGTTGTTTGGAAGGAAAAATATACCCGTAATAAACACCTATATACCCATGGCCAACATGTAGCCATTTAATGGCACACATGTTAGTGTCTCACATTCTTCTTCACTGTCTAACTTGTGCCAAAATATTTTAAAGTAAATTACAGATATGACGAAAGTCTGCCCCTAAAATATGACTTCAGTAAGACTCCTTAAGAAATAAGGACAATTTCTAGGATAACTACAACTCAGAGTTTCAATAGCCTAAATCAGTGATTTTCAACTGCTGTGCCATGGCCATGAGAGGATCTTATGTGTGCCGTGAAAATTTTTAAAGATCATTAGTTAATTTATTTTCAAAAAAAGTTCAAAGCATGGTAAGTATATTCCTTTTTTTACTTTTTTTCTGATAAACATAATTTAAGTGTGCCACAGTTTGTAGGTTCAAATGTGCCATGAGATAAAAAAGGCTGAAAAATACTGGCCTAAATTAACGCCACTTTCATAATGGCTAGTATTCGGTCATCGCATCTGTTTCTAATCGTTCCCAAAAGGTGTCTTCTAACTGGATGCAGTTCAGGCCCACACATTGGGCCTGATGGTTGTGATGTTTATCAAATCTCTTTTAATCTAGGACTGTTCTCCCCTCTTTCTATGACACTGGCCTGGTGACACAAACGCTTCAATGTGGTATGAACAATTTAACAATAAAGTGTTGAAGTTTTCTCATTTTCTTTTTCAAGAAAAAAAATGTAGCCCCAGGTAAATTACAGTGTTGTCACCATAGTTTACTGCAATCGAAAGGCCTAGGACTCAAGTGATCCTCCTGCCTCAGGCCTCCTAGTAGCTGGTACTATACGTGCACACTACTGTGCCCAGCTAGTTTTTCCACTGTTAGTGGAGACAGTCTTGCTCTTATTCTGGTCTTAAACTCCTGACCTCAAGCAATCCACCTGCCTCGGCCTCCCAGAGTGCTAGGATTACAAGTCTGAGCCCATTCCCAGCCCTAATGATTTACTTTTGTTAAAAGGTAGCTAATATTTAAAATGAGAAGTGCTATCTTGTTTACTAATTGTAAGTTGAGAGAAAATAGGATAACTAGAGGAGGAAAGAGCTACAAATTTTCCCCGAGAGAAGGAACTCAAAATGAAGTATAATATTAAGTTACAACAATGAAACCGTTACATTTTACAAGGTTCATCTGTATGGTTTTTGTTTGGTTGGTGTCTGATTTTCTTGGTTATAAAACTAGTGTATGGCTCAGCACCTGTGGCTCAAGCGGCTAAGGCACCAGCCACATACACCTAAGGTGGCAGGTTCGAATCCCCAGCCTGGGCCCGCCAAACAACAATGATGGCTGCAACCAAAAAATGGCCAGGCGCTGTGGCGGGCGCCTGTGGTCCCAGCTACTTGGGAGACTGAGGCAGGAGACTCGCTTGAGCCCAGGAGTTGGAGGTTACTGTGAGTGTGATGCCATGGCACTCTACCCAGGGGGATAGCTTGAGGCTCCATCTCAAAAAACAAACAAACAAACAACAACAAAAAAAAACTAGTGTATGACTAGTGGTACGCTATTAGTTTTCTAGAGTACCAGAAGAAGATATCGCAGTCTGGGTTGTATAAACCATGGACTGGGTGGGGGAAAGTGGATCTGACAGGAGGTGGAGCTTAGGTGATGTGAGCAATGGTGCAACGGTGAGGATTGTAAATACAGAAGAAGTTTCACTCACCCCTCCATCTCCCCACACCCTGTTACCTCCTGCTGGATGGCCTGGTTCCTAATAGGCCACAGACCAATATTGTCTACAGCCTGGGAGTTGTGAACTGTAGG